ATTACAAAAAACAACTAATTATTTGAGTAAGTTAATGATAATCAGTTTTCATAATAATTACAATTACAATTATAACGATGACCTAATTATAACAATAATTATCAGGAGAACATATATCTTTGTATCTTTATTTGAATTTGTACGAACATACACAAACACCGATATACATTTTTTTCTATATTTGATCATGTATGGTCAAATATGTTTGAAGAGCCATAATTTTTAATCTTAAGATGACCTGACCTAGTTGTATTATTAGTGGGAAATCAATATCATATTATTTATTAGTTATTTATTTCTATCACGAAAATTCAAAACTAGTGAACAACCCCAAAATGTTGATCTAGCTGAAGAAATGGGAAAAAAATGTCCAATATATGACATTAAATCCATTTTACACTGACATTTTTTCTATACTGCTTGTTGCACTTACTTATTGATGAATATTTTTAAGCTTGAAAGTGATTTGACTGAATATTTACAAAAAAGATAAAATAATGATTGTTAGGGTTCCATGCATACTTTACTAATCTGACATCAAAAATAGAATTTGTGACTAAGCTTTGCCTATAGGTAAATTTCGGTTGTTCATTATCAATTGCAGTGAACTATCATATCAAACCAATTTGGTCCATAGTGATTGCTCGGTACGTAAGGCTGAACAATAGGTTAGTAGTTATTAACAAATGATTGATTTTTTCCAGCTACTTTCATGGAAAATTGAAAAGCATGGTGGATCTATCATTAACAAGCAGTAGATGTGTTATTAAAATATGAATATGTGATCAGTTAGTCAGTTTTGTTTATAGTCATTTCATTTTTCGTAAAACATCCCAAAAAGCCTAAGGAACATTGGACAGTTGCTTAGTGTTAATCTAGGATTTATCATTAGCGCTAAATAATAGCTGTAAAGAATATCAAACTGAAGACCTATAGTTAACAATACACTGAGATACCCATTCAACGTCATAAGTATACATCGGATTGACTTAAGGTTTGACTAGCTCCACATTATATAGATTTTCATCAGAACTTTAGGAAATCAATATGAGAAACCGTGATCAGAGGAGTTTGACTATCGTGATTATGAGGCAATCATCCACCTAAAACAATGGAAGATGGTTGAGTAATATCGCGAATTAATTAACGTTGGAAATATAAGCTATCGGATGACGACTCGATATTTTGAAAGTTAAGATCTCACCACAAGCTACGATGGTTCTGAGTCTGATACCGGTTGAGGTAATGGATAAGCTCTGTTGAGGTATCCCACAATAGGATAGATCAGTTGTCCGGTAGTTCCTGGTTGTCTAAGATCAGTCGTTGATGTAAAGTCTAAAGTTAATATGAAGTCAAGCTATAAATGGACACTAAACTATTACTATTATTTATGTTGTTGTTTATTTAAACTGAAGCATTTAGAGTTGTGTCATAGAAAATATCTCCCAGAATGATTCAGATAAACCAACCTCTCATGAATCAAGATGAACCGTTTTTGTGAAATGTTTACAAGTTACAAAAATAAAACGTTGATTTACAAAACTGAAACATTTATAAAGTTGGGTAAGTCTATATTTGGAGTTGTCAGTATAAACAGCTAATAACATTACATTTTGTATTATCACATACTATTTAATTTGAGTGCATTTACATTTTTATTATTGTGACTTAAAAACACTTGATAAACTTATTACAGTTAAAAAATTCTCCTAGATTAGTTCCTATTTTGTTTCCATTGAGCACAATACTGATAGGTTTCACACTTAGGATTAGAATACAACAATTAGTGAATTTCTTGTAAAAAACTTTGAACAGGAATTAAGTTAGGTCGGGATGAAGAAAATTACACACTGACAATCTGAAAAAATAATTGTTACTCTTTATTGAGAATTTACTAATGTTGTCAAATACTGGACTGTTGAATCGTAACTTGGTCACAACAGTAACATGTTTTTTTTCTTACTAGAAATCAGAGATACAATTAGATAAACCAAAATAAAACCTTACGTATAAATGTATTTTGTATTCAAACCATTGTGTTGTAAAACAGTGAAGAAGGTTAAATGAAATGCAATAGTAAGTATTCAAGATTTGGGTGAAGGTAAACAACTGAAGCCCTTATTCAACTGTAATTCAATTTTTTTCAGTGAATTATCCATTCAGAACACCATTGAAAACATGGAAGCAGTTTGGTCTAAGATCACTTCATAATTCTAACTATGAAAATTCTGCTCTCTCCACAAACTCACCTATATGGAAAATCATCCTCTTCTAACTTTTCACCTACACTACCATTCTGATAACATGCATTATTTTCAACAACTGAGACTAATATAGGACGGTTCCATACACCATACATAATTAAATCTCAGTCTGACTAGCATTGTGATTACAGAACGTAAATATCACACGGCCTAGCCACCGTAGTCAATTATGTTTTATGGTCTTATTTATTGATTTATACAATATCTCAACAAGTAAGTGCTTTTTTCTATTCACATCTAAATTGCGATCAAATTAATTCCCGTTACTTCTACTCAGTCACTCAGTTATATGTAACGTCGAATCTGGCATACATCTGTATCGATTGAAGTTATTACATGATATCAGCATAGGAAATGAAGTTATCAAAATAAGCACCAGAGTAATAGGAATAGTAACTGCATCAGTGGTTGTAGAAAATAGTAAACATAAAGAATATGGTTAACGAAGAAAGAACGAATTTACTGAATGAAAAATACTATAATTTTGAAACTGACAAACTAAAGGAAGATAAAGATTGAAGGCATCTATGACATTATGATCAACTCTGAGCTGTTACCTAACGTCTACAAACACTGATAAGGATAATCATGAGGACACCAACCAAGTAGCCTGCACCCACCAACGTGAACCAGTTCAACCGTCAATGACATCATGGGCTGATGTCACATTCAGGTTTGACTATTTCTACTCTTCTTCCAACATACTAATATTATAGCCATCATCCCACGCCTATGTAGGTAGTGATAAGACATACGTAATACATTATTCAACTACCGTTGTCCATGAAGATTACCCCACATTATCACATAAATTACCATCTTTACTTAGTACTAGTGTTTAAAGTAAAGAAACGAGATAGAAAATAACTATACGTAATAATTTCTTAGTAGCTTACTAATTTCGTCTCCTTATTCTGGCTTCTGTTAGCCACTTTAAAACTATTTAGCTTTCAAAAGTCAATCTACAAATGAGCACTCCGAATACCAATGATATTTCTAAAAACGTTTCTAAAACATTTCTTTCTTATTAAAAACATTTAAATGACACAATTTCAATGAGAGAATTATTGACATTGCCGTATTTGAAGTATTATTTTAAATAGTTTAACTAATCGCTGGATAATACACTGGATTTTAAAGAACTACTATCAAGTGTAAAAACTTTTGTAACAAACTACATGTGGTAAAAATTGCATAACAGTTGGATATGTGTAGAAACATAACCCTAATACATTGCAATAAGATCCCGGGTTGGAGTCAGGAGTGCAGGATAGTGGATGAGCACTACTGGGGAGTCCCATACTAGGACGAAACGGCCGTTCAGTGCTTCTACGTTTTTAATGGTGGTCTAGCTTAAATCAACTCGTGAATTCAACTGTGGAAATACTACAATCTTCACAAACCCCCATACTGACCAACACTTAACACAAAATCTATTATAATCCAGTCATACAGTTAAAGATATATAAGAGGGTAGTTTTTGGAACAGATCAGGTTTATTTTCTTAGATTTATTAACTTTGGAGAAACATGCAGTGAATTTCATGTGTCATCTTCATTGATCTATAGTATAAACTTGAGTCAGAGATTGAAATTTGTCAAATGTTACATAAAAAACTAAAAGATATACTTAGCTACTATATGCGCAATTGAGAATATGTAAATTTGATCCACAGTTGTATCTGTGTATAGTATTGTGTCACGTAGGAGAATATGATAAACAAACGATCTTTGTAATTGAAAAAATAAAGATGAATAAAATGACAATCTAGAGTTGAACAGTTTTTTTTACAGAATAGAATTTTTTTAAAACATCGTGTAATGTAAATTAAACTGAATCACATTACTAATACTAAGTAAAGGTTTAACAATAATCACAATCATGGTATTATGGTTTTATAGTTGCAAGGTAAGTTACTTAAATTATAAGTTGGCATTGATGAAATTAATAGCTCTTCTATCGTTCTTATAGTAGGAATACAGTAGGGAAGGATACAGATAAGTTGAAAGTTCCAATTCTTCGAAATGAACACGATTTTACATAACTAAAATACATTCCCGTGATAATGTTAATAATATTAAAATACTCATGCTGTACAGTTTGATTTTTCGTTAGAAAACTTAATTTAAGCTTAACTAATTCAAAGTAAAGTTAAAGGTATTTCGATTAGCTACTTTGAGATGGTGGAGATTTGTAGTTCAGGTGGATGATTTTGATGGAGTTTTGGTCCAAACCATCCAGTTCAGAGAACAAAACTCTATTAAAATTATCTACTTTATAATATTTGAAATTTTATTACAAAGTGATATTTCACTGATACGAACTGTATTCGAACAGTAGGAAACATTGAAGTGAAGTTGTCTATATGCTGGACACTTGAGAACTTAAAAACATCTATAATTTTCCAAATAATAAAATTTATTCAACGAATTACCAAACACTATAGTCGCAAACAATTTCATTAAGTCATACTTGATATTTAATGCTATAATCATTTTTTTTAAGAAAATGGAGGAGGAATGCAAGTTGTGGAAACAGTTTCAAAGGTTTCTATAATCCTAATTATAGGTACGTTAATTTCTTTGAATTTACGATTAGGTTAGGGGAATATTTTTCTTACAGTTTGGAAACAAACTTTAAGTAAATCAATCCATTTACAAGGGAATATACTAAGACCGTTAACCTTGGAGTGACATGGTTTTATATTTAGAAAAAATAGAACAGAAATAAACTTACTATCAATTGACAGTGGTTAGAGCGTTACTTCCATCTACACGGCATATACTTAAATTCCTGAAAACAGTAGATAAATATGATCTGATTTAGAGAGCCTAACATAGACGTTATGACTACGATTAGTATGTGGATTGTGTACGTGTGCTAATGCGCGTGACTATCGATGATTGGGGAAAGAATAAAGAATAGGGAGCTAGACAATTTAACCTTTATTTAGTTGGATGAATTTTTTTCATCATGAATCGGTTGTATTCCGTTGGTCTGGTAATGGCAAGAGGGTTAGAGGAAAAGTTTAACGATTGGTATATATATATATATATAAGGGGTGAGTCATCTGCTACAAACCACCTAATATATCTCACATAGTCTAACCTTCATTTATGATTTATGATTAAAAAACGCGAGGAAAAATATTTCCAAATAGATATTTGCTTTAGATGTCTCGAGCATTAGTGAGAGTAACATGCAGTCTGAAAAAATTTGATTATTATCTAATAACAAGTGATAAAACGAATTCATAAAATTCATTATAATTAAACTACCCCATGAAGTAGTATTATACAACAAGATATTGAACTAGACAAATTGTTCCATCTGTATATTTACAAAGATTGGAATTAACAGAGAGAATTGGAAAAACCAAATAAATGCCTATCAGCCATTGAAAGTTGAAAATGAAGTAAATTGGTAGAATTCGGATACATTTTACGCTCACCAAATGGGATCGAACACATGTGTAGAAAAAAAAGCAATATAAAAAAAAACAAAGAGTATTAGAGAGAACGATCGTTTTTGATTACTTCATCAGGCGTCATAGTTACAAAGTTGTTATCGTGTTACAATGTACAAAGTATTAAAGTTGTGCCAATCCATGTTATGAATTAAAAATGCCGAACATCACGTTGACTGAATCTTAAATACTACAAATTACTAAAAAAAAACAGAATAACGTCATTTGTAATGTTCAGGAAACGTCATACATAGATTGCGGATGAAAGCAATGCTGATTTTCACCATGTGTATGGTTTGACAGTATTGTACTAACCAATAAGAAAAGAGTGTTTAATGACCCATTGATCTGACTTCATTTTGGATGAACGTATGAATATGGTATGAACATAAATCTTCTATTTAACTCCGTATATCAGCTAAGCTAACCCCGTTTTTGTGATAGGAGTAATGAGAAGCCAAGTACAGGTTGGGTTGGGTGAATTTATTTAATGAACTCGTTTATTCAGACAGACATTTAGAATGAAAAGTGAAAAATGAAACGGCGAAGGCAAGTGGGCCAATTCGCTTTGACAAAGCGTGACTCAATACTTATATCCAGACAAAAAATAAGCTACGGACATGTAATGAATGGGGTAAATGACACACACACGCGGTCATATTAAAATAGTTAGGGTTAATAAGTGAATGATTGACACGTTCAGAATGTGACTTAAGAAGAATGAATAAACTGGTCTGTCAAGAAGCTAGAATAATCCAAGTGGGCTTGACATAGTACTAGACACTATAAGCAACTTTGTCAACTATAAAGCTGATGAGCACAGAGCAAAGAGATTCGATAAGAAAAACGTCAAGTCAAAAATATGAGAAATAATTAGTGAATATTTCGTTAATCAAGAAAGTTTACCAAAGAAAATAAAGGCATGAAACTGAGAGGAGTGTTAGTTACAAACTCCGCTTGATCATTTCATTAACCCCAACACCAGGATTGTGAAACTTAAAGAATAGCGATTTGTTGTAAAACTTTCCAACTGTAAATATTTTTAGAAATGTGAATAAAAATAATCACTATCGAATTCGATCTGGAAAAAGCCCAATAAATTACAGTGGCATAAACGATAAACCCCAATAAGAACCGATTTCATCAGAACAAAACACACATTTGGATCTATTTATTTGTGATTAATCACATGTCGTTCATTCTCACATTGCTTTGACAAATCAAACTCAACAGTTTTATTATATTAATAATTCAAAGCGCAAAAATTCTACCAAAGATTTTGAGAATAATAAATTGTGGTGAGGAAACATAGATATATTTTATTCTCCTCTGAATTAATAAAAAATTCGTATAGTTTACTATGTATTACACGGGTATATTACGACTATCAAATATCCACTGGTGACTAATCAGAGGAAATAACTCTCATAATTCTAGTGAAAAACCGAGGTGACAAGCCTTCTAACTAAGAGGCTTCTAATAACCCCAGGTTGGACGTACACGATAACTTGAACAGAAGAGAGAAGACGTGAAATGTGAAAAGAACGTTACACTCCAAGGTTAATTTAAGTACAGAAAAACGAAAATATTTTTAATATTTCAGACGGTCTTGGGCCCCTGGAGGAAGTTTCTGAAACCATACTAGATATAGTAGTAGCCTAGGTAAACATTCGATCAGAAACGTGACTCGCTTACATAGCAAACCAGCTTAGCACCATTGAATTTTTTGTCTTATTAAAAACTATTCATCTAAATAAACTGCAATCTGGTAAACTAATAATGGGTTGAAATTTCACAAGGAATCCTCACTAATACCTTAGAGATTATACTAAATATTTTGTGGAAGCGAATTGTCTCATTATGTGAGACAATACGTAAATAGTATACGTCATGATTAAGATTACGTGAAGACATAACAAACGATAACTTCAGTATTACATTTTGTCTCGTTGGTTGTTAAAAATAACAAGTGAATGAATAGTAAATATTTGGCTTGACAACATTATCAAGCTTAGTGGGAATGGAACGGTCACTAGCTCATAAATCCAAAATACATTTACTGAAGTTCTAGTAGGGAGTTATGACTGATACAGTCAAGTTAGAAGTGACACAGTAACTCATCAGTGATACTGGACGGGGATTGTTCTGAAACAAAAAGTTAATTGAAGTTCGATTCTAACTTAATTTTTGTTATGAGGCCTAATAATCTTAGATCAGACAGACTGTAATGCAACGGATATGTTTTGTTGAAGAGTTCCAACTCAGGACAAAATAACTGGATACTACTAACCAGTTTTGAGTGAATTTTCAACCACTAATGAAGATCATCTTTAGAAAAATAATGAGAGTTATGATACAAAAACTAAGTTCAATAAAATTATCCAACCAATAGAAAACCTTATTGTAAATGTGTTTGATTAATTAATTATTATTCTCATTATATTTACTTTTTGTCTGTAGTCGAATCCTCGTCTTACAAGTGTTTAATTTGAAGTCAGTCACTGAAATATGTTGTTTTTCTCCAATTCTTTTATGTTATAGTTTTCCCTCTTCAGTTCAATTAAATTTACATTAACAAGCAAAATAGTTTTACTAAAATCAGTGAGTATTATTTGACCATTTACCTGTAAAAGCTATAGAAAATCTGTTTCTACATTGACAACAATTGAGATTGTTTCTGGGTATTATAGTTTAATGTGTTAGGTACCATAAAATCATTTCGAGGATTCTAACCTAGTAATGGCGTGACTTGTGAAATCTGGAAATAAAAAGATGGGATTGGTCTGGAATGTGGTGGTGTTACACAAAATAACACTAGTAGTACTCTTTGGAAACACAGAATATATAGATATCTTAGTGTTGATAATTTCATCAAAGACACAAACTAAAGGACAGCATAGCTCTGAAACATGTGCTAGCAATTAACGAAATACATCAATTGCCATACATTTAAAATAGACAGAGGTTTGGAAACAATCACAGTTCCAATAAATAAAAACAAATAATAGAGACAGAACAATAAAACGGGTGGAAGAAACGCTACTACTACTACTACGACTACTACTACTACTACCATTAAGGAGATGAATCAACACGTAAGATAAAACGATCATTTAGGACAATTATTTAATGAGAAAAATCATTCATTATGAGCTCCATAAATGATCGAATATAACATGAACTACTGAATATCAATAAGTAACACATTGGTACACAAAAATAAGGCATGAAAGTAATGACAAAAAATTTGAAATACAATTTACGGGTACTGTTTATGAATGGTCAAGAAATATTTATTCCACATTCGGTATGCATAAAACGGGACTTTTTTGGGAGATAATTGTCTTACTAATCATAGAGACCATAAGTCCGAGTCGCTGGTGTTTTAACGAGACTATTTCACTGGGGCATGTAAACACTACCAAAACTTGTTAATAAGGCATAATAACTAATCATAACTGCAATTGATCAGTTATTAGTATTGATCGGGCTATCAAGCAGACTATGAATACTAACCGACGACAAGATAGAACAACAAACGTGAGCATTAATCAACAGACTAATAGAATAATGGGTTTACATAAGTAAAAATCAATCTACAAAGCTAAAGTGAATATGATAATTCATAACTAAATATGCCTCTTTAGTCGGCCTCACTAATGCGGAATTATGTTGTAAGTCGGTATAAAGTGCATTTATATTCGCTACTAGAATGATAGACCTGTTCCACAATTTTAGATTCCTCATGATGTGACTACCTGATTTATCAAACCTTATATGAAAATCACGTAGTTATTTATACTGACTCGTTCTGTCGTGACAGCCGGAAATAGAATGATTATAATATCTGAAAAAAAAACATTTGGAATAGGAATCGACATTATATTTGATGTTAAAAAGAATGAGTTACATAGAGTGACCATACCTGCATAGTTGAGTCATAATATACTGATTAAGTGTTTCCACGTCCACAACTTCTGATCCGCTCAAGTTTCTAAATACTGAGTGGAAATCCTTTCAGTTACCGTATGTTGGACTTTTGCTTTCCCTGATAATCATTTAGGCAGCACTTACTATTTATCACATTGCAGAGATTTATTTGGCTGAAAATATTAAAAATTATGCCAACAATATTTGCGAAATACATGCTTTACCAAATTTAAAAACTTGTAATTACTAAATGTCAACTAAATCGATTTCTACCTTATATCAAACTTGATACTTCCAGAGAACTTTCATGAACCATCGACCGGTAAGTACGAGTATGAATAATTGGTTCATCATACATCCGAACATTGAGTTTAGAGCGTATCTCTCGCAGATACACTTGTAGTGACCTACTTTTGTCAACAGAACGCGATTAGTTCAATGAAGACAATTATTATTAT